TCTTCTTAAGTCAATAGCTCCAAAACCTGATAGTGAATAGCGCACCTGTGCGTTTTGTTCCAGTGCAGCCTATTCGCGGGAGTCACAATACCACCGTAAAAGGTAAGAAATCGATCGACGCGCTTCTTGTTATTCTTACCTACCTATTCCTCTCCAACCCATTTTTTCCAACTTGCATGCTTCCTTATCCGCTTTCTTTACATTGGCTTCTTAAAATTCGACTAGAGACACTAGCCGCCTTCCAGGTATTTATTTTAAAGTACAGCATGTCGCACATTTTGAAAACGGAGAGCTCCGAAAGCCGAACAGATGGAATAGTAAACCAGTGTATTCTTGCCGGATAAGCTTGCAAAAACGACCTCTGCTTTGATTTTTGTCAATGACCTTGCTGACGCATGAAGTTATTTTTTGGTCATTAAAGTCGTTCAGAAGTCTGTCAACGTTCTTAGTAAATTATTAGTGGCTACTTACTTTACGCTGTATTCTAGCGAGGGTTGAACCTACATGTGCACGTTACGTTATCTGATACCTAAGGCTAATATTGAGTAGCCGTTTTTGCCTGTGGAAAAATCGTACGTTTCTTGGAAAGCGTCATCCTCCCACTTTTTAAAGTTTGGCGCGCACGTAAATTTTCAGCTTCCTTCTGTACTATTTGGTTTAGCTACCAGTTCTGCTGCAATGTACTGGATCTTTTGTGCTTTATCCACAGCTCATGAAGTGGGTTGAGTGGGTAAGAAGCCGTTTTGACGTGGCTTAGGGAGAATTAGTAGCATAGGTTTTGCATTATAATATTGCATTCCTCATGTTGTTCACCTAGGTTTTTATTTGCAAGCATGTGGCTTGGTTGTTCATAGCTGCAATCACCCTAACACATGCGTTGCGCGCTGTTATCTTCACTTGCGGAACTACTGGTGACCTACTAGGTTACCTCCTTGTGAGCTACTTTTCTGTTTTTTAGGCCGCTTCCGCTTAATAATTTCGGTAGCGACACCGCAATTCATTTGCTTGCATTTACTCATAAAGTTTATTTTACATGTACTTTGCCACCTTAAACGTAACGTTTGATGTTCAGAATTGTTAATGAAACCATGGGGTACGAACTGTCATTAGTCTTTCATACTGCCTGGTGACCTCACCTTGCGGGTTCGGCATTCGAGCGTAAAAATACTCCTGAAACAAAGTGATCAAAGTGATGGTTCTCTGGAGGGTACGGAACATGATATTCCAACGCTGACGATGTACGTGTCCTTACCAGATGCCTGTAACTTACAAACTTACGTCATTGTCGAATACTTCAGACAAGGAACCACTTGGCGCTTGTGCACAGCTCACGTACAGGTACCACGAAGTCTGCAGCATGCCGTATCGCGGCCAAATACAACAACAGTTGTAACCGTTGGCAGTGGTGTAAGCATTTCTACGTTGGAATTAGAAGTGGACCAAATAATCATCAGCAGGGACGCCGATCGGATTGCAACCGTTGAGGTTATGGAAGATTTAAGACAACTGGTGCGAAGCACACTACCCAGAATTGCTCCTGTCAGCAAGTTGCTTGCCGCCCTCCGCAAGTGCTTGCCTCGGAGACTGAACGTGAACTTAACACTTATGAGAACCCGAAGGATTGTGTAGACCATAAGTATCGGTGCTGGTGAATATTGGCACATTGGGCTTCTGCGGGGTCTATTCAGTATCTACCGAGATGCAGACTTTCAGCCGCCAGAAAGCCTTATTGTCTAGTTGCACATAGGTGCTTTCACCTCCTTCATCTCCTAGAAAATGTTGGTCTGGTGGATTCAGCGCCGATCTTGTAACCTCGTTAAGTAAACACTGTTTGCTCTCCGTGTTTACGACGGTCCTGAGAACTAGGGTGTAAGTGAAGTTATGAGGCCTCTGTTACGCATCTGCTGTTTTCAATTGGTTTCACCTACCCTGTTTGCCCCAGGCCCGTTGCCATTGAATTAGGTGCTGTTATATATGAAGCGCTTGCTCCTGCATACATGAAGAGGACGAATGGACGCTCAGGGTTCAGCGGTTGCGACAAATATATTCAGCAGGGTAGTTATGTGAAACAGATGGTTATCTTCCTATTTACGACGTTCCGGCTTAAGCCCCACAACTCGGTTATGTAATTGACTCGCCCTTTACCGTCACCTTTTGATTACCTTAGTATTGAAGTGGTTTTGAGAGTTCCCATTGATTACTTGCATTGCATGTGCATAGTGCTGTTGCGACGTATAATCTGTTTGCGGATAGAAGCACTGGCATGGAAGTAATTGAAATTGCAAAAAATAATACATTGTATGCCATGGGTTTCTTATTACTAAAAAATAAGTGTGCAAAGCTATGTGAGTTGCTTAGACATTGCAGCGGTTTATCCATGTTTAGTGGTTGGAAAGCCGCGGAATTTAGGCAGTTTGTTTTATACCCCGCACCTGCAACCTTGGTAAACCTGGTACCAGGAGCTAAGTATTACAACCTATTACATCTTCATTTAGGAATATATACATTTGTCACCCGCCGTTGCAAAAGATGTACTGGTTTATCACGAAATGATTGATTCTTAAATCCTTGCGTTGGTATTGCCGTCTGTATTGGAAAGAACAGATAACGTGCAACGTTCACTGCTTAAGCCCTTAGCATTACACGTGTCGGTGGATGGAACCCTTGACGCTTTTGCTGCCTTTCCATTCGAGTCCTATATAGGCTTCCTGAAGCAAGTAGTGCGTATTGCACCTAAATTTGCAGCGGAAATCGTGAGGCAGTACGTGGGGTATGAGGAGGTCATCCCCTTTTCTCAGTAGCCTGTTTCTCAGGGGACTCGCGTATTACAGGGTGGAATAACGCGTCATGCAGTGTTGATTCTTGTTGATACAACCTACACATGCAACGCACCTGCCAACGCAATCACTGTACATGCTTAACCGCATTGCATGGTCAGAAGGTAAGAGAAGTGTTTGTAAAACTTTCACAGAAGTGCACGCGTTTTACCATCGCCGGAAACCTTTTTCTGTTGGCAAATTATTTTGCCGCCTCAAGCAGCAGCGATAACGTGTAACCATTCTGCGTGGGCGTTATACCATGTAAAGGTGTGTGCTCTTCTGTTACTGACGGCTTAGCTATAGTTTCTCTGTATCATACCTCTAAAACTCCGGATGGAACGGCTTAAAATATGGTCCACCTTCTGGGTCCCTAAAGGTTCACTTTTAATTTTCTCTACTTTGTTTCTTTCCAAGGATTTTCTTACATCAGTTACTTTTATGCTCATGGTCCTTTCTTCTTTCGTTCGACTGCAGTTTTAGAGTCCTCTCATTTTCCTGCAGCTTTGGAGTTATTTCGTAATGGGTTTCCAAGTATCCCGTTACATGAGTTCACTTATTACCTCTTTATGTCGTGGAATCGCAGGCCTCCATCTAAGACACTTGTATTCACCTCGCATAATGAGCGACGGTACGTCATACTACGGTGGCTTCATTACAATACTAATTAAGGCAAGCGTAAGTGATGCGGTGCGACGCACCATTTGAACGATGCACAAGATCGTAACTGTATTCGGCCGATAAGCATATGGAGGGCTGTTGTCATGGTGGATGCATCTACGTGCATCGGTATGACAAACTACAGGGTGCCGAACGCAATGCTAAGGGCAAGGAGCTGCGTAGGCATGCATTGGACATATAACGTAAAGCCACATGAACAATATAGAATGGCCCCTATGAACACGGATGCAGGTACCGGGGTCATTAGATTAACCATGTTGACAGATTTTTAATGTTAAGGAGTTCAGCCGAAAACCTTTTTGGCTGACAGCAATCAAACTGTAGGCTAAATGGGGTGCAGAATGGGGCTTCGTGTTGTGATTATATTTATTAATTAAACCTCTTGCTGCTATTACAGCTCTTTCATAAGCAGTGTTTGTGTAAACTGACAGGGAGTACTTGCATAAGTCATCTATTTCAGCCTTAAGACCTCTTCAACCTATTGCGCAGTATCGTCAAGCACGTCCACCGGATCCGTGGGTACAACCATAAGCAGCTCTTAGCCGCTTGGAGACGGTCGAGGGCTGTGCTACTAACCTTCCCCGTTTGGAATACCTAAATGTTGTGAGGAAACATCGGCCGACGGAGGGGAATTGTACATTCGCCTACCTGACTAATACTTTCTCGAAGTAGTAAGTTCAGTGCTGTCATAATTTTGCAAGGGATTTTGTTTAGGCTTTCGCCACAGCCAACTCTGTTGACCTTTCGAAATTAGCCGAAGGCACGGATACAGCAGCAGACATGGATACAGCCCCACTTAGTTTCATGTGATTTGCCACAGCATTTGCATAAGGTTTCAACGCAGACGTATAGCACATCGTTAGATTTCCGACGACGATGACTTGGAGCCTCCAGGAAGCACCTGGTCCCTACAGACGATCCTTGTGGCTCCCCGCCTATTGTTTGTATAACAGAGTTGGACCGCTCTATGAGTAAAATCCACGTCAATTGTCTTCCCACCAATACAATACGGGTGGATCAAAACAACATGATACAGGTAATGGATACATCTTTCTTAATATGAAACTTCGGCGTTCAAAACTGGCTCACTGTGGTAAAAATTCGATCGCACAGTTTTTTAAACTGGATTCAGGTGGGTGCCTACACTTTTTAGTTTGAGCGTCATAGTCTCAGGGGTAACCTCTGACTCGTCCTTCACCACAGTTCCTAAGGGCGATTAGAATCGTATTCACCGTAAGCATTGCAGTGTGGTTTCTTCATTTTCCTGCAGGAGATATGGACCAACTGAAGAATAAACTGGGGTCAAAAAACTGTAAATTCCGACAGTTTTAAATATGGTATACATTTGCAGGTAAGGTTCAGATAATCATGGAGCTACAGCAGTATATGAAGCTTTGCGGGATATACATGGCTGACACCATCGCCTGTCAACCACGGCAGCAGGCAAAGCAAATTGCTGTGCCATTTGCATCTGTGGAGAAGCCATAGTCCTGCGATATATTTATGCAGGATGTAGCACAAAGACACGATTGGTGGGGTTTGTTATACCTCAAAGCTTCATGCAGCGTACTTATTTGGAAGATGTGCAAGCAGACACGTTGTCGGTGCCAGACGCCTCAGAATGCAGCATCTCTTAAGGCAGCCGTTAATGGCGGGGTTCAACTACTCCGGTTCCCGTTACAAAATGGATTTCACAAAAGCACACTTTTCACTGATATGCATAGTACGCGCCCTCTTTGCTGTTTCATCCCCACCATAGCTGCTTTATTTAAAGGATTCCCTGGAAGCAATTGCTCACTGGATGATAGCAAAGTGTCAGTAAATATTTTAAACATATTCGTGGCCATGCATGGCGCAACTACGCCAAAGGTTGCATAAGCAGCCAGCAAGTACACAATAGTGGATTACTTATTCACCTTTCTTAAATAAGGTTTTCAGATTGTGGACTAAGATTCCTCAGACGACAGCCTAGAAGAAGCCTGACGGTTTCAAACGAAACATTGACCTCGTTTATCAATAGTAATGTGCTATGCTTTAAGGTAGCTACTGCTATGTATCGTTAAAGTTACTTCCAATGTGCAAACCTTGGACCTTATTCCCGTAACCTAGGCGGTTATCGGGACGCAGCTTTTGAGGCATCTCAGTGACCAATGGAACTTAAAAATAAGCGTCTTGTTCAACGTGTTTTCCTCCATGCGGTAACAGCAGAATGTGCGCCATGATACTACGCTTCCGTTGTCATTCAGCTTGTTACGCCGCATGCAAACACTGTTATGTGGGCGGTCAGCTATGATTATCAAGTTTAGATTGCATTAATAATAACTAGTGATACCTTCGTTACGTAGTATCTTTAATGGAATGCGCAGGCAGCCGTTTGGGGGACTACTCCCAGGGTGTGCGCCCTGGAGTGTGTAGGCGTTAGATGGGACCTACAGGGATAGCTGCTAGGTGTGTCGTACATGTGTACCACCTAGTTGCATGCGTAGCGTCGTGGTGCTTGCACGGCATTAGTCCACGCCACCCAAGGTTAACTGTCAATGATCACTCATGCTCCGCTGGTGTGTCTGTTGTCCTCCGTTTAACTCAGCTTTCTGTTTAAGCATGGTGTAAAGTCCTGTACTCTATACTCAAGGAAGTTGCAGTGGAAGAACAAGTTTCACCTTCAAAATAGTCGCCATAGTCCTTAACCGTGGTTTCAGATGCATGGTTACTGGTTGAGTATTTTACCACGCAAGTTCCTCCTCAAATGTTCTTTTCGTGCTAGCAAGGGAGCCGTTATTTGATTTATACACGTCTAATGCAAGAGTTGAAGGCTTTTGCTGCATACGGCCTGTTGTGGTATCGTAGCCAACTTGTATAAACCTCTTAAATCTACTTTCTCTTCCGTGGGCTGCTTTCTCTGCGAACGGCGCCTAGCCTTTAGGGAGGATAGGTAGCAAACATTTCTTCAATCCCACCATTCAACTTGTCGCCTCAGGAATGCACGTTGCTAGTCTAGCTATTCTGCGCGCACGAGGAAAAGCGGCCGTGCATCCTCCACTACGTTGGCAGACACGGTTGTCCGTCGGTCCTGGCAATCAATCTCTAAGTCAAAGCCCGATCACCTCTTCCTCAGTGGGTGCCTATTAACATAGGGTAGTGTCTGCAAAACTCAATTGGATGCAACTAAGCCAAAAACAAAGATGAGGACCTATGTGACTGTGGCGGGCATATACGTTGCAGCAAAGACTGCGATGAACTAGCTCAAAAAATAGAAAAAGCTCAACTTCTAGCTTAAAGTAAAATTTAACCCAACGCAACGGCAGCACATTAGTAAAAAAGGTTACAAACTTGTACGGCTCAGTAACTAAAAGACAGTCCCCCAAAAGCCAGGTCATCCAGGAGGAAACAAAGCTCTTTGTGGACGTTGCTTAATAATCCGGCATGCTGTTGAATCCGACAAAGAGTCGTTAGCTGAAAATATTTTTGACGACTATGCATTTTAGATGCGGATGGTATCCATCCTATTCAGATAAGGCAGTAATGACCAGTAGTTTCCCCCGTACTACCGTGTAAACCATTATAAAACATAATAATAATTTAGCTTTCTTAAGTATTGGGGAAATGGTGGGTTTTGGTATAAGTTGGCTGATAAGGTGTCACTAATCCCAGTCAGCAGGCTTAGGTTAGTCTGGAAAAGCACCAGACGCTCGCGTTTCAACCTTCTGGATCACCTCAGCAGTATGCCTTGCAGCGGACCCCTGCCGGGTTAGGCCCCATGACTTTAGAAGGCCAGCAACTTCCTTATGTAGTAAAGAATTAGGCGCTTTCCTTGTTGGAATGTTCTTCCCGTTTGTTTGAAATACGAACACGATATACACCTTTGGCGCACGACTCGACTGCGAACGATGCGCCATCCCGTACTCGATGCCTAACGACAAGGGATAATTTTTGTAAGGGTGGATAAAGGTTCCGCGGGCATTGTATCAGGTGGTATCAAAAAGGTTAAAATTGCCACATCGTTTATCGTGTTTTGCTGCTGTTATTCTAGGATCGTAAATAACTTGCTATTGGAAAGCTGAATGCTCCATGAAGACAGTTATGATGAATTTAACGTGTGACTACCGGTATATGGGAAGATCACACACTATTAGAATGCAAGGACTTTATGAAGTACAGATGATGTGTGGGAGCATCTGTTATGGAGCGAAGGAAGTGCGTTTGCGGTTTATATATTATGCCAAGGTTGTAGATAACTAAAGCAAACATTTAATGTAGCTTACGTGCTTGTAAAGCTGTGATAATCATTTTGCTGTGATGGTTATATACGTAGTTCTGTGAGTTCACGTTCAAAGAGGGAACAGTTATTCACCAACATTTTATTTGTAATGCTGAAATGAAGAAATCATGAATTTGCATACAATTGGGCATTGGAGGTTAAATAGCTTGATTTCTTGGCGATTCTGTATTGTCCAATGAGGTGACAATTCCCGTTTGTGTTTGATGATATCCATGGAGGTAGCGAAGTATAGGCAAGTTCAAGTTCATGTTCAGTTGAGACGGGAACGATAGGACAATTCCGTAAGGGTTCTTACTTTTGCCCATCGTTGGATCGGGAATTGATGGGTCGGCTTGAGATGTAGAAAAACCTGAAACACGAACAGCATCACACCTGTCCAAGTACTTACTGTCCAGATTTTCCTGTTAAGCAGTCCCCGCCAGGCCTGTTTATGCAAAGAAAAAGTGTGAAGGGTAGGCTAAGCAAACAATAGGAGGAATGTCAGCTAAAGAATGCTATTACCATGGTGTTTGAAAAACATAAAAATGAACATTTGGTTGAAGCCACAAGTCGGTTAGGAGAAGAGGAAGGTTTGGTACAGCCAGCAAATGCGTCTAACAGACGCTCTGAAAGCCTCAACCGTTGACTTCCTAACAATTTGCTTCGGAAGTTGGTTCCAACGTTTAATAACTTGGCTCGCCAAGCGAGTGTCCGTCGTTACCCGGGCAGAACGCTTTTTATGCAGCTTCAACAGGTGACCTCGGAGACAAGGCAGCGTGCCAAGACTAAGTAGCCAGGACAATTCTGGGCAGACCTTACCCGCTAAGGTACGGTAAATGAGGATCAAGTCCATCCTAATTCCTCGGTAGTGCATTGAGTACATACCCAAGCAAAGCAAATGGTTGTGCTCCGTTTGCCCCCGTAATCCTTGAACTAAAATTGTACCCAGCAGCAAAAACCCTCCCCAATTTACTTTGTCCATTATAAGGCAAGGCGCACTAGCTTGAATACGATATTCTACTTGAAGTCGCACAGAAGCTGAGTACAGCTTCACAAAAATGTAGGCCGTTAGAATACCAAAGGTGCGGCGAATAAACCACAGCATACGGAATCCTATACAAGCAGCCTTCTTCCATTTGTCCCCAGAGTGAAGTCCTGAGGTATGGATAACACCTATATCAACCTGCTGATTGTCAACAGGGAGTTCACTTCCACCAAGTATGTAGTGCGTGGGAGGAATAGCAGCTCAAATCCGGAGGACGGAACATTTCCTCTGATGTATAGGCATCAAGCATAAGGTTGAGCAGTTCCAGCGCCTATTCAGGACACGCTGAAGTGCCTCAGACTTACCAAGGATATCCACAATATTCCAGAGTTTGCGGTCATCAGCAAACAGTAGTGACGGTATTTCAACCTCCTGGGGTAAGGCATTGACAAAAATGGCGAAAATCAACGGGCTAGGAACCAAACGCTGCGGAATGCCGCTACGAACAGCTTGTCTAAGCAAAAGGCTGCGCCCAGCACGAACCCGCTGTTCTCATTCCATTAGGAAAGCTGACACCCATTTAATGACGACTTCAGATATCCACAAGACATCAACTTCAAAGAGAGTCTTTGATGTGGGACCGTGGCAAAGGCTTGCGAGAAGTCAACGAAAAGCACATCGCTAACGTGCCCGTTGTCTGCTGTCTCACCCCGGCTTTCACTGGCCACAACTAAATTTGGCAGACTTGAGACTCCCTATCGGACTTTGTGCTGTGCCGAACTGGGAAGGTTAAATTTAATCAAGTGATTCTCCACCGAAAACCTGCCCAATATTTCAAACCACCTAACTACTACGCTTGCTCAGCTGACAGTCCGGTAGGTAGCGGGCAGAGCTCTGCCACCGCTCATAGACGTCAGACTAATGCTTGTCTCATACTATTTCGAAGGTAAAGCACAAATCTCGTGCGATATTCTAAACATTCTTGTCAGCTGGCAACTTGTCTCAGCGGTCAATTTTTGCAACAGCTTTGGAGGAATTGAATCCGGGCCAGAGGCTTTGGAATGATTTAGCCCTGGCAATAGCCCGAAGACTTGTATCCCCTTAAAGTTGTTTTCAGTTTAGCAAGAATACTCCATGACTTTGTGACCAGGTCAACCTGAGGTAGAGAGGTCTTAAAAGCAAAGACACCAGTATACTGTTCGCTAAGTATACAGGCCTTACCACAGTCGGTATGCGCACGGGTTTCTACCGCCCGTAGTAAAGCCGGTATAGTCGAGTTTGTATGGCTACGTATCTTTACGTAAGCAAGGCACATTTTTGAGTTGTTACGGCTGCGTCAGCTAAATCCTCCTCGTACTGAAGCTAAGGAGTTCTAAGCTGTTGCTTACATATATTTCTAACTGCACGATAGTATTCGTAAGTGCTGGGTGATGAAGCCAGTTCATCATATTATTGTGATATATGTTTCAGTTAAGGAATC